CACACACACACAAACCTTCAACTTCAAGTAATGTGTGGAACGAAAAACAAAAAACAACAATCTTCCTAGTTCGAGATTTGGTACCAACTACACTTTAATTTCAACCAGCAATTGAACTGTTACATTGAGCACAGGGTACATTTATAATATAACTATACTGATGAATGTAGGTAATAAAATTGAGATACACATATTGTGTATTTTAAACATAATTATATACATTGTCATGTAACACACATTACGTTAAAATCAGTCAATAAGTTCAAAGTTGTACCGAGTTAAGGGTCATCGAGTCAGTCAGACAACTCAGTTATGTACAGTGCTTATAGTAGAAGTTATCCTATGGCTACGTAGCCTAGGCCTATCTTGCATAACACTGTACTAGACTAGGTGAAGTATAAGACTCGAGTTCCATTCCTACGAGGGTAAGTCCATTTGATTGAGTATCCCTGTCTTTCTGCCGTGAAGAAGACTTAGTTGACCCTGAAAATAACAGTCAGGATCAAGCAGACTGCCTTCTAAATTACGTATGATTTATCTGCACAAAAAAGGGAGGAGGCGGGGTTCACTTCAACAATCAACTGTGTATTTGAAACGTGCATGAATAAATTATGTTCTTACTTCTTACCGCCATGAATACAATACACGCACGACAGTCACTTTGTTTTGGTAAGTGTTTAACGGCGCTTGCAACTGTCAAAGGTTATATGGGCGCGCGGGACACATTAAAAACATTTTCAGTTTGGTAGGAATTTTGAATTTTGCTCGGGTGTGGTGGCCGAAGCCTACTCTTATCGATTTTTAGGACCACCAAAGGATATTTAACGTGCGCATTTTGCACTCAGGACCTCCTAGATTTTTCGCCCTTCTCCGAGAAGGATCAGTGTTAGATATGACCTACCCTTAGATCAGGGGTGTGGCTGAAAGGCAACAGGAAGAAGGAGTTTCTGAAGGTGCCAATGAGCAGTAGAAAGGCTGCAGAAAGAGTCAGCAGCCCACAGGGAGAGGCAAAGGGAGAGGGGGGAGGGGGAGATCAGAAATTGGAGACGAAAGCAGACGACAGAATATGATTAGAGAGCAGGAAGGGAGGTGAAAGGAGAAAATTTTAGAAGTGAAAATATATTGTCGCTGTCAGGTTTCGAACCCGGGATATACTGAATGAGAGGCGAACACCGTAATCTTTAAACCACGAAAAGGAAGGTTGCCGTAGACTCAGAGCTGTACACGCCGGCGTGTAGCTTTCTGTACATAATTTATTATTTGTTGTTTTGGGTATGTGGTTTATAAAGACTCGGAAAGAACCTGGAATATGTGGTTCTTGGCAGGAAAGGAAATCCATCGGCCTTTTTACAGACTGTCTGTCTGTCTGTCTGTCTGTCTGTCTGTCTGTCTGTCTGTCTGTCTGTCTG